CTAGGAGGACATGAAGCGCTCACTTGGCTGGTACAAAATATTACATTAACCAAATATGCATTTAGTCATCGCAACGATGCTTACTGTGGTCTTAACCCATCCTGCACCCATAATACTCGGCGATGGTTTTTTGGACAATTGCCGATAATTTTTTGATGACTAGAGTAACTGACGAGTTCTGAACTAGATGAAGTTATAGAAGAGGTCCCCTGCCGGATAAGATATGTAGCTGGTTTTTTCAAGTGTTTCTTCGATTTTTTATATGTTTACACTACGATTTTTTATATGTACACACTACAGGTTTATGAGAAATTGCAAGTGAGATTTATATCTTTTGAATTACTAACTCATTGATGGTAGCCGCAAACATTGGGACACATTGGAGGACACCATCCAGCCGTTTTCTAAGAAATTCCAGCTGTTCATTACTTCGGTGTTCGAAATGCAAGCCTTGACTGAAAAGAAGACAATTCATCGTTTTAGGATGAAAGGACTAGGATCTAGAAGCATTTGAGGATTCCAGTGGTTTTCACTTCGATTCAAGTGTTTATTGTGAGCTTAGGGATGCTTTGTATTTGTATTATATTGTAGAATAAGAGCTAGCACTTGTTGGGAAAGATGTTAACGATTTCAAGTTTGAGAATCCAAGAATTTTCGGAGCCATGTGTGAGATTGTGTGCACGGTGTGCGTTATGGGATTGATCAACGCCGAGTGCTTTATCCATTATGTTTCTAAGGAGTCGTTAATAGTATTTGAATAGTTCAGTTTTAGATTCTAGTGGTTTAAAAACGAATAATATGGCAACGACAGCCGTTATTGACGCTACTGCAAACTTACCGATGAGCACAACGATGGCTCATCACATGAATATGAAGCCGATGTGGATGTGGTTTCATACTACTGTTAACGATGTTGTTCTATTTGAATCGTGGACTGTTACGACGTCATCAGGTTCAATTAAACTTCTGTAGTCAACCAACCTTAACATCCAACGCCATCACTCCACTTGTTTACAATGGCTTCTGATAAACGCTGTCCTTGATAGGTGTGTTTACCCAATGACCATAGATATTTGAAGGCATGAAATCCAATATCGTTTAGCGCTCCTAACCATTAGAGGAAATGAAACAAGATTCTGCTAAACTATTAAGCTTTCAATGTGTCGGTTTTTTTCGTCACTTTTTTCCGACAAAAAAACCTTTACAAGAGTTTGATTTAAAAGTTTGTTTAATCAATAGCGTATATGCCGTTCTGTTCAATGAACTTCTGCCATCTTTCCGATACGGGACACTACTCTAGGATCTCTGGAATTTGGAAGCAAGCAAGTGATCTAGGTATTTTTGTAGGTCTCTAAAAGAGTGGTGTCCAACCAAGTAAACACTTTGAAATCTGATAAATAAAACGGTTGAACGAAAATATACTATTGAAGTTGTTTGTTTTGTTTTTGTTGAATTTCTAAAGGTCTTCGAACGTTATCGAAATGCTCCAAATCACCTTTCATATTTAGTGTCATGGTCACGGTCGATTAACTGATTCATTGCTTGGCCAGCTTATATAGGATTCACAATTCCATTAGAAGCCCAGTAGAACGTCTTCCTACTTGTATACCATCTTCTTTGTGGAAGATTCCTAAAAAGCTGGTCCATGTCTAGCATTCCTTTACTTGATGTTGTAGATAAAGTCTATTCTTTTAACTATGTGATCAACTGAGCGCATGCAAAGCAATAGTTGGAGTTGCACTAGACTACACCCCTGTGTCGCCTACTGGTTTGATCCCTCCCTAGACTCACTAGGCTTTTCGTGATCTGCAGAGAGGTACCAGATTTGTCTGCGGGGATAAAAACAATGGCTTGATACATCGAAAGGCCACTGCAACACATTGTATAGGCCAGATATGTATGACATCATCACTACGATGCAACGAATAGAGTCAAATGTACGGCGTGTCCTTCAGATATTAGCCAACCTCGAAGGCCTCATCTTTCTATCCTTATTATCATTCCCTTAGGAAATAGATCGACTTTGTTACGCTTGAGAATGTCCGATCCGGTGTGTACCGCAGGACACCTTCAGCCATTGCGTTACATTCTTTTTCATACGTTTTTACATGATCCGTTACGATATCTACTATGCGGATTCAAGTACTTCCTACATATGATTTGTTTCCTTGCATCCATCATGAATGAGGGCCTTCAAGCATTTTGAATGTGGATTCGGCTACTGCTCACACATTACCGTCAACTTTATAAATGCTGTTGAATGCTGTCAAGTCCATTCTCCCTATAATCTTCTCATAGCCGAGCTAAGAGGTTCTCACATAGATTGGAAGTAGTTAGGTGAGCCGAGATAAGTCTGGTACTAATTTCACAATCTCGGAGGGATAACACGCACTGTTAGTCCGTGAGTGTCGAACCAGAGCTGCGCTCGTGAAGAATGGCATCACTGCCACTACGCTATCCACCCCTGGCCTACGGTTCAGAAATATAAAGTGTAAATCACTGTTGTTTATTATTGAATGCGTATCATCCTTCAGTAGTACACTATTAGTAAATGAATTGTGATGCCTTGCATTGTATTATCATCTGCCGGTAGACTGAAGACAGCCATGATTCAGACTAGCGAAAGTAGTGATAAGGCTCCATATCGATAACACCACGAGGAATCGACTTGTGCTTCGTACTCGGTGGTCGCATCGTTGCCAGTGTTCCTTGTTAGGGGTTTCATCATAATTATGAGAAACATTGAGGTTTTTGACAGAAGTGAATCGAATTCCAGCATGATGAACCGCATTTTGACAGATGGGAAATTAGTCGACACAATAATCATCTTGAAAATGGTAGATCTTATTGACTTTCAATAGCAGCCAGAAAACGTTGAGAACGATGCGGACGTCTAAATTATGGGGCTTGATTGTTCGCCATTACTTTTTTTTGTAAATTTTCACATCATTGATAAAATAGGTAAATACCTATTTTATCAATGATGTGAAAACCTAAATAGAGCGTTAGCTGTTATTTGAAGTTGTCAATGCTCACCTTTTAACATTTTCGTGGCTATGCGCATTGGTTTCAATTCACGCGTTCCTGGGAATATTGTTCACATTCGCCTTTAAACAGATTTATTCATGTCTGGAGAAGCTTTCGAAACTAATCAAATCATACTCCATAGATGATTTGAAGAAGAAAGTTCACCAAGTTATAAAGTTTGAAGGAGCTGAAAAACTGGAAGGCTTGAGGTAGTCCAACACATTCGTAACAGTTCTGGTTTTTCGATTGCTAATGATAATTCTTCAGTAACTAGAGGCGTTAAGGACTTGACAATCTTATTAAAAGGACGTTTCATGCCGCTGTACTTCTTGAATACTTTAGTGGTTACAAATCGTGAATCCTGCTGGCCATTGCACAATTTCGATCTCGTCGATAATTTGCAAATTAGAGAACTGTTCCATTTGCTAGGACATCGAATGCGGTACTGAGCTTCTTCAGATCGTCATCAGTTTCCCAGATAGTGACTATGTTGTTGCCGCGGTGGCAATGACTTTTGGCATAGGTTTACTCTCTGCTGGGTTTCTGCACTGAAATGTCAAAATCTGTTCTGGGAAAAGCTTTGTAAGTAAATGAACACCAGCTGTATATTAGTTCAACAACCAAGAACACAACCACTCAACCCAGCTACGATGAGACAACAAACTGCTGAGAAGATTGATACGCGCAATTCCCGTGAACTATTCCAATCCAAAACTCGTTTAACAAATTTTAGTAATGTTAAGTGTAAGCATGACAGACGCAAACAACGATGACGCATTCACTCGAGGATTGCACCTCATCCCTTTGAACAAATTTCCGTTTATTCAGCCGTTTTTCTGTTGTTGCAGGAGTATAGGTCATGACGAAAAGATGACCGAAGAAATTTCGTAAGGTGGAGAAAATCAGAATTGCATTACAGTAAAAAAAAGTTGTGTGATGTTGGTAAAGATCTATAGAATTTATTGATTTCCGTTTTAATTTATCACATTCACTTTGGAACGAGCTATGCTTTTTCAAAATTGCGCAGTCAAATTATTTTCGCCCACGTATGAGCCAATGACGAGTCATAACTTTCATTTCTTGGAAAGCAGGCGAACCATGGTGAAGGCAAATGACTTTGGTATCGACTGCGGGACCGTTAAAACAGTGCTGTGATTTTAATAGAATACTGCTAATAGAGTGGAAATGTCTTACGCCATGCGTCGGCTAATGAAATACCGGCTACTAAAAGATGCCCTGCCTGCCAAGCTCGAACACTATCCGTCCTGTATAAAGGGTACAGCAGCGATAGGTTCTTCATTCGAGCGGTGTTTCCTTCACTGGGTTCATATCGATGGGAACGAACACTGAGGACGACCACCTATGGGGGAACATTAGCTCTGAAGAAGACGATGACGTCGAAACGTTAGCCAAATTATCGGATTTTTACCAACCACGCGTTAGCATAATCGAAGGTGTATTGAGAACAACTGGAAAACACCAATCAAATATGAATGGGTGCAAAAATATTATTGACTTTCCAATCTGAAACCTCCAACGATGGAAATCCGTACAACTCCAACACGGAAGTACAGATTAGTCTATGTATACATCACTCCTCATTGTAATAGCGATAGTAACATATATCATCACTATTAGCGCTAAAAATGAAGATCCCAGTAATAAGTGACGAAAGTTCAGTGAGCTAAAGATAGATAGAATGTATAGAATGTGACTTATACCATAGAAGATGAAAAGTTTTAACAATCGCCAAACTGGCACAGCATGCGAATCGGTTGACTTTCGCTGGTGGTCGTGATGGTGTTGGTATTGGAGTGATGATCATTTACCCAAATCGATCGATGCGCATTAATTACGCAGACATCTAGCGATTTGTAGAAGTTCAATTAACAAGATCATGATGCCTTGATGTTAAGAAAGTTTTCCGTTGTCATTTTGACACTCTAGATATGATATGGAGCTGTTTTATTGTGATGGCAATGGGAATATTATTGGAATTCATTCGATATATTCGATGGCGTATCGAGATGAGTGAGAAGCTGAGCACTCAACTAACAACAAAGTACGCCACATTCACTATAAACAGTTCTTGTCAAAGGTGGATGTCAAAGCTTCTATGATATCGAATATCTAGAAAACATAAAGCCGTTTATAAGCTGCTTAACTAATCATCACTTAGCCTTGAGGTTCAGTAATGTCTCTGATATTGCCAGTACTTCTTCTACAAAACCATCGCCTCTTTGCTTTTCTTTCAGGGTTCTGGGTTATCCAGCTATTCCTAAAAGTTCATACCGTATTGGTATTACATAAAAACACTAGTTTTTCGAGAAAAGATGCCGCCGAAGCAACACGTGAATTCATCCAGCTATCCTTACTAATATATTAACTTTCCAATGAATGACTGAATGAATTGCAGAATATCATCTACTCGGGATTTCTTTCAGCTATATTTCTCGACTCTTTTCGGCTTCACACATAGTGCAGACGTTATTCTTCGGAGTTCAACAAGTGCTCGGATATTCGCTTATGCTTGTATTTATGACGTTCTCCATATGGCTAGGTATCGCCGTCTGTTTGGGAACGGGTGACTTTCCTATCTACTACACCTGTTGAAGTTACTAACCATCCTAAAAATCTATGTTGCTTCTAATTTTATCTATCCTCAATTTTTTACTAATAATCACTCCTGACAGTCTTTTCCCAAGCATCGATGAAAGTGTAGGGTGTGTTTCGAATGTAACGACAAAGTCTTTACAGGTATCGGATTCCTGCTGTTCGGTTCACGACAACCGAAACAAATGGCGCTTCTGGAATCGAGAAATCAAAGATGTTGTTGAAGTCGAATTCAACACTGACCGAAATAATCAATTAAAATAAATCTATTTGTTTGAAAAGTCTGGTCTGCATGAGAAGCGCTACGCCGAAAATGTCTTCCCTTTTAGAAGTATGTGGAATAGTTGTCCATTTTAAATAGTTGTTGCAGAAGAAGAAGATGATGATGAAAATGTACTTCCATTTTCGAATCCAGGAACCAATACTGTTTCGCGAATGGCTGCCAAAAGACATAACAGGTTTGAACTTTAACTACTTCCTCAATCCAGAAAATATTCAGTGTTTTACCGCGGTGCCATCAAGGTGTCTTAAAAATCACGCGTAGGGCGCTACTGCTAGTTCTTATTTCACTCAAAATCCTTGTCTCTCTTTCTTTTGTGGTTTTATGGTCTTTTTTTCTTTTCGTCTCCTTCATTTTTCTTCTACTACGAAACGCTATGAAGAGATTTAACTTCTTTAATGCTGAGATGTTCGCAAACCTCCGAACCGCAGGTGTCTGCAGTGGGGAACGAACACAGTATTGCCCTTTCCAGGGAGTAACGCGTTCACCACCACACCATGCGGGTCGTTCGTTTCGCCTGTCTCTCAGTTACTTCTGTCGATCACTTGCCATCAGCAATCACCCGTTAACGGGATTGATCTGGAGAGCCCAAATCGGCATTGAACCCAGTTAAACTGAAGCTATAGTTATAATCACAATCTTAACCTTTTTATTTACTGCCTATTCCTTTTAACGGCAGTGTATGTTGCGAAATATAACTTCTATAATGCTGAGATATTTGCAAAACTCCGGACGAAGGTGCCTACGGTGGGGAACGAACGCGCGCTATTGTCCTTTTCAGGGAGTAACGCGTGAGAGACAGGCGAAACAAAGGACCCGCATGGTGTGGTGGTGAACGCGTTACTCCCAGAAAGAACAATAGCGCGTTCGATTCCCACCGTAGACATCTTCGTCCGGAGTTTTGCAAATATCTCAGCATTATAGAAGTTATATTTCGCAACATACCCTGCGGTTAAAAAGAATAGGCAGTAAATGAAAAGGTTAGGACTATGAAGAGACTTCTTTCGACCCTTAAATTTAGGACTTAGAACTAAAACAAGTTCTAGAAAAGTCTTTGACATTTCAAACCACTTCTTCAGATTTCTTCCTAAGAGTGTCACCATAAAGTATTTTCTGCTATCCTTGTCTCGAATTGCTTCACCGTTAAATTTTCTCGAAAGTTCACGAGCAGCAGAATTTCGTCCAAATGAACTAACAGTGAATACATTTGATGTTCATGAGCTACTCCTTTTTCGAGAAAATCTGTGTAAAATCTTCGAAAAGCTAGTCTGTCAAAGATACGGTAGTGGGCTGAGAAAATTCAAAATATCACACCATTCGTATCTTGTTCTTTGAGAAGCTAACTCACATCACCTAAGGATACGTCGCTTCGTGTATTGGTGTGGCCTTAATAGCCGGCTTATACGAGATCAGCAAGTGCGTCAGATCCAGAGTGGAGAAGAAAGTCAACGAGCAGAACGTACGCTACATAATCAGACTTCTGTTTCATGTCTTAGACAAACTCAGCATGAGAAATTCTTTTCGATTTTTTGTCAAAACAAACATATTGTGGGAAATACTTACCTGCTTACTTACACAGTTAGATGACCTCTCATCTCATTGATGTGTCGAATGCTGCTGGAGCTTGATGTCGCTTTGAAACCCGCGTGCTCTGGTCGTTTCCACAACCAGGTGCCGGCATTTGGGATTGAAGAGAGTTTTTTCTTGCGTAGTGACTTAGTTTTCTTTAAGCTGACAACGACCCAGATGGATATCACAGGTAGCATTGAGTCCTGCAGTTAGTCGACCCAACCACCCAAGCGCGATCTAACAAGCCGAAGCCACAGTAATTCATATAAATTTTTTAAGCTTTAAAAGAAACATGGAGCATGGACTGGATTCATATTCCGGTATCAGATGTGCTACATTTGCAGTTGTGCGATTGTGACCTGGACATGGCATCTTTGAATAGAACCACTACGTCTCCAGGCATTCCATGCCGAATCACAAGGAAAAAGACTGAACTACCGTGAGTTCATTTCAATTTAGTGGTCATCCACTTAAAAAGATCCTAGAAGCGAATTTTTTTCGCAAACCTTTCAAACCAAAATTGAAAATTGTGGTTGTACTTCACGTAATACTCTGCCATGGAAACATATATAGGCAGAAAATAAAAAGTAAACATTTTGGTTTCGATTGCAGCTTCAGTTTAACTAGGTTCAATGCCGATTCGTGTGAACAACACGTGAATCCCCGTAAGGCGTAACTACTTGTTCGAAGCTGGCGTTGGGTTCCGAGCTTTGGAAACATCTCTGTATCAACATGCTTTAAATTGATGAGCTTACACGTGGTTGACAACATTGTTTATTTCGGTTAACGTTTCGACGTTTTCATCTTCATCAGACCTGATGATCCGAGTCGATGGTCCACAGTCGTTCTTCCTCTCGATGTGACGACTTCGTATTCGTACCGAGACTGATCTCTTCGTCAGTGGAACACTGCGGAAAATGAAAAATTATCTCAGTATCATTGTGGTTGTAGAAGGATAAAAGGATAAGGCTCTCGGCGTTGATCATTTCCTGATGGATGCGCCACACATTCGACTTCATGAAGCATCGATAGAGATGATTGAACACATATCTGGTCTATACAATGACTTGCAGTGGTCTACCGATGAATCGAATCAGTGCTGCTACCCTCCCAAACAAGGTGGGACCAATTTACCGACTCCAGAGGGATGGATGGTTTGGTGAACCTGGGACGCGAGATTGATCTCATGTATATTGCAAGGCGCATCTAACCACTACACTTCACATAATACACTGCCATAAATAAATTTTAGGCAGTAAATAAAAGTTGAATGAAACTAAAATTAAAATTTCATTTAGAGATTAATGTTTTTATATCAAGTTTTTATACCAACCTTGTGTCAGCTCTATCATGTAGAAAATCATTGAAATGAAATCTGTTTGAAAAACTGAAACTAAATAAATGCGGTGATACTGTGATAGTGATATTTCGATTTAGGTTTCTACTTTCCAATCTTAAGCGTGGATCTCATGTAATTTCATCAACCATTTACTTCGTGGAGATGTTTGTTGCATACTCGTTGATGATGATCTCCATGACGTACAACGTGCCAATATTCCTCAGCGTAGTCATAGGTAAACCGGGATCAGCTTGCCTATGGGCTGTACTGACCAACTAAAGAACAGGTTCACTTAGCGTATACGTATGAATTTCCATATCTAGGCACAGCTCGTCTTTATTTAGAATGTACAGTTTATTAGTAACAGCTGAAATGAATTGAGTTTATTGTGTAGCGTAACGTTGGCGCTTGTAGTGCAGGGATAAGACGTTTCCTGTAATGAATATGCGTTCGTTCAAACCCATCCTGCATGCTAGCCAAGACCTCCATCCCGCTAGCTTGCAAACTGGTAATAGAGCTATCTGGGAGGCTAAACCATTGAGGGCAGATATGCATTCAGTTACCTCATGGTGCTTAATACAGGACCCTAAATGATTTGTCAACGCGGAGCTGTTTATCGTTTATGCAGGATAACGCAGAGCACAGTGCATAGTGACTGGAACCATCTTGAGTCGTATTTTAAAGGCAGCAAACCCTGTTCTCCGCCATGTTTTTGGTTTTTGAGTGATTTTTTCACTAACAATGGATTACATGATAGTTCGAATTTCAGGTCACATGGTTGCGTTCTTTTTTCTCATACCACTTATCTCCGTTCAAGAATACGAAAAACTTGAAGGCTGTTGTGGATGAGATCGCCTGATAGCAGACGGTTGTAGAGAAGCTGATAACGACAACATTCTCCGAAGAATACGTCTACACGACTTTTTCTGCCAAGCATATAGAATAAAGCAGATGTGATTGATGCAATCAGTAATTCGATGACGGTGTGACAGTGTTCGACCTCACCAGTGAAGTTCATTACACAATAAATGATTAGATAACAGTAACAGGAGCTCCTGACACGCAATAAAAACAAATAAACTATGTAATATTAGGTTCGTCCATCGTGAAAAAGGGCAGTTCATCAGCAAACTCTTCCTTAATTGGTGTCTCCTGTTTGCATTCTTCATCAGAATGTCTACGACCTGAAGCTCTTGTCTCTCCTATGGCCTCCATTTGTTCTGATGCTTTCTCTAGTGCTTTCTTGCTCTCAGCATCTCTTCGTGCGAATAGTTCAGCTCTCGTTGGATGGTCCGTGATCGATACCTTAAGGCTGATTTTCGTCAAAGATTTGTAGCATATTCTAGTATATATGCACTAGTAAGTGGTGTGTGAAGGAATTACGAGTTTAATATGTTGGCTAGATTATAACCTACTGAGAGGCTTAGGTAAGCATTAACAAAACAATTCCAAAGACCGGATTTTAGTGCGCCTCCACATTAACCAAAAATTTATTGTTTTTGAGAAAGTGAAACCGTCTTAACAGAAACGGAAGGCCTTTGAATCCACCTTTATCTTAGAGTGAGTATTTGCTCACCTTTGGTCTGTGTTCACTCCCCTATACGCCTGTAGCAGAACACCCTTTAAATCGAGATCTAAGGATAATGGAAGTACATCCGTTGAAGAGCTATAGAACGGGAGAAAGTGAAAGTGTTCTTTTTTAAATAACTAGGGTACATAAACGAAAATAAGAAACACATTAACCTTTTCCTTATTTCCCATGACACTTTTGACACCAGGAAGCGGATGGTAAAGCCATGGACGATCGCATAGCCATCCACTGTACTAAAGAACAACAACAATAACAAACTATCTATGGAGGTGGTGTTCTAAATCCGAGCATTCATCAAAGGATACCCTAGTCTCTATAGAGCATACTTACCCTTTCAGTGCGACTAAAAACTCTAGCATTCGAAGCATCTATTCCATCATATGTGTACTTCTGCAGTAATTGATGATTGTCAACGAGCCAAATATGGCCAGCGTATTGATCGCTATCCAGATCTGCATATCGAATCAGGAAAGTACCTTTCTGAAAGTCCATTGGTAGGAAAAAATACGGTAAGATCTCCCACATGGATTAAAACTTAGCACCTGATCCTCCAGTTCACAACTTTATAAATATAACCAAAATGGTGCTGAAATATTTGCAACACACCGGACCGCAGGTGTTTGCACTGGGATCGAACACATTGTTACCACTTCGCGGGCTAACGCGTTCACGACCACACCACGTGGATCCTTCGTTTTGCTTTTCTCTCAGCTAGTTTTCAGTTCTTTAATTTTAATGTAATACACCGTGAAAAATTGTAGTAGGGAGTAAATACTTGATACTTGAATGGTCCGTCCTCACTGTTTGTGCGAGCACCAGCATAATCTCCATTTTTCAGAGACTTGCTGAATTAGACATTGTGGTTTCCTGGAGTCGCAAGGTCAGCCCAGGTCTTCACCACCATAGGCAGTCGCAGCCCTTGTGAATTAAAGGGAGATAAGGGAGATTTGCCACCATGCAACTTTGATACCAGGACAGTGGTGGATCCTTGGATTGGTTTACTCTTAACTAAGCTTCCTGATGCAAACGCCGAACTTCTTCTTAGCTTGGAGACCCTGCTAAGAGACGAATACTCCGCTGTACATCGTAGTCCGACATCCGGAAAAACCTCCAAGCCACATGAGGCAGTAAGTAAAAACTTAAAAATGTGATTTCGACTACAGCCTCGGCTCAACTGGGTTAAATGCCTACTTGTGCTCCCCAAATCAATCCCATCGGCGGATGATTGCTGATGGCAAAAGATCGATAGGACTAGCTGAGAGACAGGCCAAACGATGGACCAGCATGGTGTGGTGGTGAACGCGTTACTCCCTGGAAAGGACAATAGCGCGTTCGTTCCCCACCGCAGACACCTGCGGTCCGAAGTTTTGCAAATATCTCAGCGTCATTGTGATTAAATTTCAGTATCTCACACAACACCCTGCTGTGAAAAATTATAGTAGGCAGTGAATAAAAAGTCAAAATTTACAAATAGAATTCAACAGAATTCTATGCTGACTAACGGGAAATGCCATATTCCTCCTCTTTTGCTTCAATAGCTCGCCATGTGTCGATAGAGCTGCTGGTTTACTTGTATTTGATTCTCCTGGTAGGACACCTACTCCATCGCCATCCGATTTAAGTTTCTTCCGTCTGCTAAGTCTGAAAAAAGCAATGTCAACAACATCTGTTGTTATTGCTGCAATGGTAGTCGTGGCAAGATTTCTTTTCTCGAAATTAGTTCAATCTTAGTGATGTTCTGGAACGTGAAGTTATTCTACTAAAGAAGGCGAACCGCAAAATCGTAAGACCCAAATGCCCAAGTGAAAAGTGACTGAGTTCGGATTTTACATAGGTTAAGAGGAGTTGAGTGCATTAGTTAAAGTTAGTTAAAATACCTGACGATTTGATATTTCTCCTCTACCTTTAACATATTCGCCATCATGTGAATAACATGCGATTCATATAGTGCGAAAATACTTACTTTCAACTGTACAGGAATGTATCTGAACTCACAGTAAATGTTATTAATAAAAATAGGAACTATTCAAATTGTAGGTCATTGCCAACCAGATGACAGATTTCGTGCTTTACTGAGGGGAAATTAGAACGTCCTGGAGCCATGGAATATATTTTCACTTCTTTCTTAAAGTATTATTATGACAACTCCGAAACTACTAGGTTCACTGAATTCTCAGAAGTTATCGAAAAGCCCACACAGCCGCGACCATGTTGCCAGGAAAACAATGAATCATTTCAGTTACGTGGAATGTCAGTAGCGCTACTTTTAATACCATTTTTTAAAGAAAGCGACTAAATTGCCTTCTCTTTGGCGCCTGAACTCCTTCAGCATCAACACCGTCTTCTACGAAATTCACCAGTCTTCTCTTACGACGCCCTTGTTTTCCATGCGAGAAATTACCAGCAGCTTCAGTTCCATCCACCATTTCCGTTTCCGCTATAACATCTTCCAATAAGTAACGATAAACGGTAAAATATTTAGAACGCTGGGCTTTTATTCAATAGTGCCAGTCAGATAACATCCACCTGAAGAACTTTCCCATCAATTAATGTATTCTTATGGTAACTCAATGCACGAAAAATAATAAGTGCCACAGACTACCTTGGTAATTTACGTCGCTCATATAGTGAAATGGTTCTACAGCACACTCCGCAGGGACTTGAAAATGCCCCAATTGAGAGTGTTGTACTGGCACCTGAAACTAAAGCGACATAAATGGGGGTTTACTTCTCAGAACAAGCAGTTAGAAAATATTAAACGTTGTTTCAATTAAAGTTTGAGACAAATTAACTGCATTAGGTGAAGGAGCTGATGAACATCGACTTAGAGAGCGACATTTCCTCGGAAGAAAAAGCCTGTACTTCTTGCAATATTTCATTGCAGAACTCTGAACTAACATGAGGACTGGAATGAGGCTTGTCGATATAATTGAGCAAAATGAAAAAGGTTTCGTCTTTGAACATTCCTATTCGGAATCTACAACAATTAGGCCTTTTGCACTCAGCTTACTTTGGTTTTGCGTTAACTACTCACCGGTTCTTGTTCACAGATGGGCGGTGCTGACATGAATACGGTAGGTTCCTTAACAAAAGGGTTGATATCAAAACGTGGATACCTTCAGAAAATGGTACTCACCCTATTCATAGAATTATTGTAAAGGTGAGGGATCTCGATTCGTTCGCATTGCATGCACTCTGGATCTCCGTTGCATTGCACACCATGACTAATGGCTCCTCGTAGAGTACGGTATCTGACTTGTGGCTGGACTTCATTGGGATAACCATGATCTGGCCGTGTGAGAGGAACTGCGACATGCCGAACAACCTTTGAACTTTGCTGGACGCGTGAGTTTCGAAACATGGCCTGGTCTTGAAGCCCATACTGGCTTACGGAGAACATCATATTTTGTGATGAAGTGACAACGCTCGGATCTTCCCAGTAGTTGAAAGTTCGCGAGTAACTGTGGTCTAAATCATTGGCGACCGGATGGACAGCATTCATAGAAAACTGAGCAGGTCGCTGGGTAGGGAAGCACTCCCGTTGTTGAGGTGTAAAAACCGCACCTGGAGGACAGGGCTGTTGTGGCTGTAGCTGACCTTGTGAGCACTAAAAAAAACCGGGTTATGGAGAAAACAATCCAATGAGGAGATGCTTTAACATGTATAAAAAGATGAAAGCTATGAGAACAAAAAACAAGAAAAGAAAAAAATTAAAAATGATAAAAACTTCCATCGAAAAGCTAACTGAAATTAAGTTTCAAAGACAAGAAAGATGAAATCAATCACCTGTATCACCTGTAGTCCCGTTGATCGTTGAGTGACTCGAGCGGGCGCCGGCAAATCTTCCATTTTTCCCTGTCGCGTGCAAGAGTAGCCCAGTGGGTTCTGCTCGCTCTAGGGACTCGTCGAGCATCATATCTTTCATCAAGGCTCTTTGTGAAGAACTCTGACCATCGGGTCGGTGGTCTTCCTGCAGTGCGTTTGACATCTCGAGAAATCTAATCACTGACGGCTCTTGCCCATCGGTTGTCGTTCATACGCATTACGTGTCCGTCGTACCTTACCTTCGAGACATCTTTGACTTTTGATCGTTGACGCAGATCGGAGCTTCGGACCCAATCCCTTACTTGTGTGAAACGGGATACTCCTACCGTCGTCCTTTCGACTGCGCGTTCGATAACGCTGAGTGATCTTTCATCCTGCCTACGCAGCGACCAGTTCTCTGACGCATACGTTAGGGCAGAAAGTACCTTTCAGTCGAAAACGTGGGCACGGAGTCGGGTGTTCTCTGCTCTCTTCACTACATCCTCGGTGCTCTTGAAAGCTCCCCAAGCTGCTCGTTTCCTTCTGTTCAACTCTGCCTGTAAATCGATGAAAGTGAGACAAAGCGGTCTTTTGTACTCTCGCGATACTTCAGTGAGTCGTGTTATCGTGTGGGTGTGATCCATCGTAATAAATCCTTCCCAAAATCCTGCTCGCTCACATGGGTGCCCTTCGTCCAGTGCTCTGCAATTCTGCTTGGGATGACTCGAGTGAAGAGTTTGTAGACGACAGACAGCAAGCAGATTGGGCGATAGTTGATGATATCGTGTAGATCACCCTTCTTCAACAATAACACGGTCCTACTGGTCTTCCGCTGAGTAGAGACCTTGCATTCATACACGTAACGTGTGAAGAGCCGAGTTAGTGTGTTTACGAGGACTGGAGGAAGGCTCTTCAGGTGTTCTGGTCTCATCCTGTCTGGACTTCGTGCTGATCGATTTTTCGCCGACGAAATGGCATGTCGGATTTCGGAAGGGAGAACTGGTGGTACAATATATCCATCCACCTTTATTTCATTTGACAGAAGGTGGTCGTGGCTATCGAAGAGATCCGAGTAGTAATCGTGAATGATTTTTTCCATTGCCTTTCTGGACGCTGTAGCTGTTTCGTCTGGGTGTCGGAGTGCAATCACCTTGGTCTTGCAGTTGGCAAAGCTTCAGTGGACTTTTCCCAGCCTCTGCAGCTTCGAGCATTGCTGCTGCTCATCTCTCTTTATGTTGCTCTTTTATCAACCGTCTGAATTGTTTTGCAAGTTCGGATGTTAGTTAGCGGTTGCCTGCAGCTTGTGCGATTCCACACTGGCGTGTCAGTTCGAGAGGCTTTCATAGCGCTAGCGTGAAGATGTTGAATGAGCCGTATTCTTCGTCGATATTATCGACAACGGCATCTTCCCAATAGCCGACTAATGAATTGAATAAACCCCAGTTTACGGTGGTTCTGGGACTTCGGTTTTGGAATTTAGCGGTCTTTTCTCCTTTCCGCGAGAAATAGAATCTTGCACAAAGGAGACGATGATCTGACCACGTGTAGAATTTTGGGACAACAGCGACATCGATTAGGCGAAACCTTCTATTTACTATGATGTGGTCTATTTCGTCATGGTACTCCCCATTGGAATGCTCCCACATCTAGCGTTGAGGGTGGGGCTTCTGGAATTGCAAGTTACCATGTATGGTCTTGGTGGGAATGTTAAACCCAGATAGCCGCTCACCCTTTTCGTTCCATTCTAATCCGTGTGTCTAAATGTGACGTTTAACGGACGCCCTTCTTGGTCCAGTCTTAGCGTTGAAATCTCCAACGGTGACGTTGAGGAATGTGTGGTCTTCTCTGTAGAACTTTTCCAACTCCATATATAACGCTTCGACTTCTTCATCGTCATAGTATTGATTTCGGCGCGTAGACGACGAAGATTGTCAAGGCCAGTATTGATCCACACCTCCTTAATCGTAAACATCCGTTTCAGTTGTAAGCTGTTCGAATGAATCGATGTTCATGGACAAACTCGCGTTGACGAGAACTCCAACGCGGCCGACTCGTCTACTGTCGCATATTCCGAGGAACAGTTCTTCTCCGGTGTCATAGACGGCGTTGAATAGGTGGCGGTGTCTCGTCTCGGCCAGGCCGATAACGTCGTACCTTATCCTTCTTGCTTGCATGAGCAAGTCTTCTATCGAGGACTCGGATGCAAGTCTATGTGCATTGTTGGTACAGATCGTCACCATAGTTTTTTGAAATCCAGGCAGCTTCCATTGGTTCTAAGTTTTTAGCAGCCTCTCCGTACTCGTCCTACCCAACGCTGCGAAATTAGGGGCTCTTTCGGGGTCAGGGGAATGAGGCCCGTTTTTTTTTACTGTGTTTAGCATTTTTGATACCCACATATAGCTTGCTGAGCTCTGAACGTGGGGCCTGGGTATACTCATGGGTAGCCTGCCGGGCTCTTCCAGAGTGGACATGGAGCTTATTTGTTGGAGACGCCTCCTAACTGCCTCCCATATACTTTCCAGTCACTTGATTGCAGGCTTTTGGCCGAACTGACTCGTAGAATACAATCCACATAAGCGAGAACGGGCCAACACATGCATGCATGAATACGCCTTGCAAATACAGGAAGTATGTGCCAAATCGGAGCAGCAGAAACAGGGAGTCCATCCCCTGGATCCACCTGCGTCTCAGGGAAGCCATGCCTGGATCCTCTAAAAACTCGATGAACGAGCAGAATGGAAGTTGAGGAGATGGACAGTAATAGAGTTCTTTGAGAGCCACTTCATGGAATTACAGACTTAAGCGCTTTTTCAACTCGACAGCTCTTCCATGTACCATTATGCGTGAGGGCAATCTTGTCCACTACTCATAGAGTACCCTGCCGATGCCTTTTAAAACGTTACAGGTTCATACGCTACTACAGCAGAGGTCGCTATTTAAAGTTTCAACTAATAACTACATAAATTCCGCATCTGTACTATTAGTAGGCGCTCTTTTCGCTTCTGCTGCGCCGTTTAGTACATACCTTCCGTACTTACAAGGCGTACTCATGCATGCCTGTGTGGGTGTTTTCTCGCTTACGCGGATTGTATTCTATGAGTCATTTGAGCCAAAAGCATGCAATCAAGTAACAGGAAAATATATGGGAGGCGGATAGGAGTCACTTCCAACAAATAAGATCTGTGTCCACTTTGGGAGGGACTGGCAAGCCACTTGTGAATATAGCCAGCCCCATTTTCACAGCCCAGCAAGCTATACGTGAGTATCAAAAAGCTAGAAACAGTGGGATAAAGCGGAATCATTCCCCTAGCCTCGAAAACGAGTATTGAGTGGTTGCTAGAATCTCAGGGCCGTTTTAGGTTGCCTCTAATCGCAAAAGACTAAAGGAATGATCTGTACTTACAATGCATACACACTTGTATCTGAATCCTTGATAGAAGACTGTTCATGTAAGCAAGAAGGATAAGGTACAACGTCATCGGACTGGCTGAGAGGAGAAGACAGCACTGCCAACGCTTTATATGACACCGGAAATGAAATTTTCTTCAGAACACGCGACAGTTGAGAAGTGGGCGGAGTTGGCGTTCTCGTCAACAAGATATTGGCCACGAACATCGATCCATTCGAAGAACTAGCGACTCGAACCGAACGCTTACTATTGGATCGAGGGGTGGGTCAATACCGGCTTTGACATTCTTCGTCATTTGCGCACCGACGTCAAGCCATGAAAAGGAAGAGGTCGAAAGTTCAATGTGGACTTGGAGAGGTTCTATGGAGAAGACCATACGTTCTTACGTTCTCCAAAGTCATCCTTAACGTTAAGATTGGACCCAGAAGAACGCCTGAAGAACGCCACTGAGACCCACGGGTTAGAATGGAACGAGTAGGGTGAGCCTGAGTTTGTCATGAAGACAAAGACCATTTATGGTAACTCGCAATTGCAGGAGCCCCACCCTCAACGCTGGACGTGGGAGTGTTCCAATGGAGAGTACCATAACGAAGTAGATCACTCCAAGAAAAATAGAAGGTTTTGCCCAAACGATACCACTATTGTCCCAAAATTCTACACAGGATCAGACCATCGTTTCCTTCATGTAAGATTTAATTTCTCGCGGAAAGGAGAAAAGACCGCTAAATTAAAAATCGAAGTCCCAGAGCCACCATGAACTGCGGCTTACTCAGTTCATTAGTCGGCTGTTGGGAAAAAGCCGTTGTCGATAACATCGATGAAGAATACGATCGGCTCATTCAACATCTTCACGTTAGCGCTATGAAAGCTGAGTTCGAAAGTCACCAAGAGACGTCTGTCTCCAGAAACACTCGAGCTGATACGCCTGGGTGGAATCGCACGAGCTGCAGGCAACCGCTAACTAACGTCCGAACTTGCGAAACAATTCAGAGAGGCGATAAAAGAAGATCTTAGAGAGAGAAGAGCAGCAGTAATGGCCGGAGCTGCAGAGGCTGGGGAAAGCATTCGCAAAGCCCACCGAAGCTTCGCCAACTACAAGAACAAGGTGATTGCACTCCGACGCCCAGACGAAACAGCTACAGCGTCCAGAAAGGCAATGGAAAAAATCATTCACGATTACTACTCGGATCTCTTCGATAGCCACGTCCACCTTCTGTCAAATGAAATAAAGGTGGATGGATATGTTGTACCACCAGTTCTCCCTTCCGAAATCCGACATGCCATTTCGTCGGCGAAAAATCGATCAGCACGAAGTCCAGACAGGATAAGACCAGAACACCTGAAGACCTTTGCTCCAGTCTTCGTAAACACACTGGCTCGGCTTTTCACACTTTACCTGTCTGAATGCAAAGTCCCTACTCAGTGGAAGACCAGCAAGACCGTGTTATTGTTCAAGAACGGTGATCTCCACGATATCGGTAACTATCGCCCAATATTCTTGCTGTCTCTCTCTACAAACTCTTCACTCGAGTCGTCCTAAGCAAAATTGGCAGAACACTGGACGAAGGGCACCCATGTGAAGAAGCAAGGTTTCGAAAACGATTTAGTACAATGGACCACATCCACACGGTAACAC